TATATATATATATATATATATATATATACTATTTGCCGTCCATAGAAACCAAAAAACTATGAAACTAGCATTGAGAACTAAGAGGCTTGCTTCATGAGATGTATCGTTTCATTTCCATTTCCTAAGCAAACATTAGAAAATGTAATCTTCATACATATCATGGCATCATATCCTTACTAACATATACTTTTGTTAAACACTGTTTTATGTAATTGAAATTAATGTGTATATATGTATTATATACAATACATATACTACATTTTATATATGGGTGCGGTTTGTATAGAGCCCAGGCTCTAAACAATCAAATTAGAGCTACTTTCAAATAGTGTAGATCGACTGATCTATGACAACCTTTGTGACAACCTTAAAATATATTTTCATCTTTATTTATAAAGTTTAAAGCTTCAAAAATATTGTAGATCGACTGATCTATGAAAACTTAAAAATTGACGGTCCAAAAATGTGTTACAAAATACCCTATTTCCAAAACTTGAAATCTATTTTTTTCTCTTGTCCATGCATCTCGATGTCAAGATGATCAATTTGAGGATATTTGGGCATCAAAACAACCTCTTCTAATGAAATTTTTGAGGTAGGCTCTAATTTGATTGTTTAGAGCCTCAGCTGTATATAAACGTTTCCCTTAATATATTGTATACATACAATACTATATTGTATACAGCACTGTTTACAATATTGTATGCTATATACAATATATATAATATTGCATATTTATTGTACTACAATTTACTATATTATACTTTGTTGTACGTACTATAAACAATGTACGTATTGTATATATACACTATATATGCAATACATACAATAATATAATATATATTGTATATACTATATATTATTCGTACATAATATAGTATCGTACAAAATATATACTATATAATGTATATATTCTTAGTAATATACGCTTTTGTTATACACTGTTTTATGTAATTGAAATTTATGTGCCTTTATAATATACAAAATAATTTAAAATAGTAAAATCCAATAAATTCCTAATATAAAATAAAAACCACTGACAATAACACAACAAGATTTCCAGCCATAGTCACCCACCAATACATTAAAAACTCTCTGTTTAGGCAAGTGATACTCTCCTCATATTTAGGCAATGCATTAAAATCTTCTATTCCAGCAATATATTCAAATTCCATCTAATAGGCACTACATTCAAATCTCCATCTATTTAGCCAAGTGATACTTTTAAGCAAGTATTTATCTGACCTTGAAATTCAAAAGTCACATAAAAGGAACACTATTCCACTAATGGGAACACGATCCCAGGACTTGTGGATGGCATTCCCTACATATTATGGGAACACGATCAAGTGACTTGTGGAATCGCATTGCCTACATGGATCCTCTCCAAGCTGCCAACCAAAGAGGATGAATAGGGCTTGGTGACAATTATCACTATTGGAGAATTATTGGTGGAGAGCTTTATTGAGATATAATTACCTGTGTCTTTTTACTCAGAAATATATCAAATAATTATTGGACTTTAATATATTAAAGTAAATATACTATTTAGTATGAAATTATTTCGATTGTTATGGGACGAAACTGAATTCAAATTATACATAATAAACAAAAGAAGTATGTTAAGAAGTTTCTAAATGACAAAGTCGAAAATAATTTCTAATGTAAGTCGAAATTAAAATATAAAAACTCATTATCCAACTTCACAGTTTTAATTACATATCCATCATTAGTTACTTCCAAATTGCTCCCTATTTTCTTTAGTGAGATTTTTAGAGTTATTGTTAGGTAAATGAAATGTCCCTTTTCAAACTTAAATTGCTAATTTTGTCTTCATCCCACATACATGCCATTAAGGAGAAATGTTTTTATCATGATAATAATGAGAGAACCTAAATTATTGTGAAAAAATTATTTTATCATGATATTCTAGGAGTTATTATTTGGCAATGGTATTTAGCATGATTGTTAATAAGGATCAAGGTACCTATGCACCAACTCTCTAGTGACATTTGTTAAAGCTCCCATTCTGCCAATCATAGGTGCCCTGAATCTGATATTATGGCATCATCCAGACAGGGCCAAAAACGATGATCGGTACTTCTTGTATTTCACTTTGGAAAAAAACCCATATGTTATTTTAAAATAATATCCCTTTTTGTTTTATAGTGTTTTGGAAAGTGTAAAACCTTGGAAATGGTATTTTGTTTTATATCTAGAGAGAGAAGTGATGGGTTAATTATCGCACATTGAAGATGTGGATGAGGGAAGCCTTGTTTAAATACGTGGACATCTTCTTCACTTGTATTCTAAGAACTAAAGGGAGAGAAAGCCCATGCAGAGCACGCGCACGTGCATGTGCGAGGGCGCAAGGAAGCTTGATAGCGCACTTTGTTTGCACGCTCGCATCGGCGCATGAGACGCCCCTCGCCCGAGCAAGTGTGGTGCCCCTCCCCCGAGCACGTTTACGGGTTGGGGTCGTGGCTCATCTATCTTTTTGCTGCAATTGACAAACCACTAGTAGCTTATATGGCGTCCCAATAATGTGCCTCTCTATTGAACTTGAATTAGTTCCGGTGGAATGTTGCACTCTGGTGAATTGTGCCCCAACGGATGGTTCTGGTGGATATTGCACTCCGAAGTATTATGCCCCTTTCCTGAAGATGAGCGACTCCAGTGGATTGGTGCTTATGTTCTACCAGTGAAGACACGTACATAGTGCTTGATGATTACTTTACCGAAACCCATTAGACATTGTGTAATTGTGGGCACACATGTGGATATTGCAGCGGTTAGCTTTCTAGAACCAAGAATCACCACATAACTGTAGGATATCTTGTTGCACATAATTGCAGCATATGCACCATTCTGACGGTGGAGATTTCATGAGACGCAAATCTTGACTGGCAAATCTTGACTTTTGGGTACTTCTACAATCACGTGTAGTAGGTGAAAAGCCACCTTATCTCTCTATAAAAACGGACATGTTCCTTTCATTTACATAACAAAATTACCTACCAAGTTTTCTGTCCTTCACTCTCTCTCTAGAATAAAGGCAACTCCAATGCTCCAGATCTTACAATACCTGTGAATTTGTATTGGCAAGATAATATCAGCAATCCTCTACTCCAATGTATCCTTTTTCCTAGTATTACCCACCATTTCCAATATATCAAGACACTATTTTGGGTGAAACGATGGAGTCCTTTAAAGCTATGAACTTAGACCGTTTTGATGGATCAAACTTCCAGAGGTGGCAACAAAAGCTCCTATGCTTGTTGACCATGCTCAAATTGGTGTATGTCCTCACGGAACCTATGCCACAGGAACCATTACCAGTGGAAAGAGAGAAGATGGAACAAGCGCAACAACGAGAGAAGTCCAAACTTCACCATAAGTGGATGAAGGATGATTTAATATGCAAACGACACATCTTTGTCCACATCAAAAGAAATATGAGACGAGTTGGATATCAAATATAAGACTAAAGAGTCAAGTAGCCAAAGATTTTTTATTTCCAATTACCTTGACTCTAAATTCACTGAAAATAAACCTATATTCAGTTAAGTATAAGAGTTACAGCTCATCATAAGTGAACGTAAAGGCTACAGAGTAGAGTTGAGTAAGGCTTTGCACGTGGGAGCATCATTCATAAGTTAACCCCATCATGGAGAGAGTATCAAAAGAAAATGAAACATAAGAAGGTTGATGTTGATCTTGTTCAACTTCAACGATCTCTCTTAATTTTTCTTTTACCATGCATTAGAAAAATAAGTTCTATATCTTTCTCATCTCCCTCTCTCGATCAACAAATCTCAGGTAGGTCCACCCCCCCCCCCCCTCTCTCTCTCTCTC